CATTTAATTTATTTTACTTTTGTTTTTGCATTTGGGAACAGAAAGAGTGGCTTTTTTTTTTTCTTTGCATGTATCAGATGATAATGCATATCTGAAAAAGCCAAGGCAGGTAACAGAGCACATGACGGCTTACTGTGGGGAGTTTGTATACTCCAAGTGCGGCAATTATCATGCTACCTGCCCCAGACTACATAAGCTTCCAGAAAGTCTGAGGTTTCCAGGATAATATGTGGTCAGTTTTCTTTTTTTTTTTTTTAAGTTAATACATGTGTGAATCTGTTGTGGGCACAGAGCATATATGTAATGAAGGCAAGTTTTATGTGACCTCAGAAGGATCGGACTGTGAAATGATACAATATTCAGAACTTTAACAGCCATGCACTCTCTGAAGCAGATGCACACAAGCCTACAGTCTCAGAGGGATGCCCTGGGAAATACTGAGAAGACAGTATTTTATTGTTCCAGATCTTTATTTATCTACCAGCAGATGTCCCTATAAGGCAATAATATCTTATACCTAGGCCAGCTGATTACGAAAAATCAGAAACGGAACCGCTCATCATATTTCCAAAGACTAAATGGTATTAAATTCACCATGTACTTCAAAATGTTTCCAGAGATACATAAAATGCAGTGCAGTGCCAAAGTAAATTTAATTTACTTCTGAAAACCACATGGAGCAATTATTTTTTCTAAAAAAAAGAAATTCTAGGAGTTCCCAATCTTTATCAGCACTAAAACCACTTTCTAAAATAGAATAAAATTATTGATTATCTCTGTGCTTTCAGGTACATAAGTATTCATTTAGCTAAAAAATACTCAAAGTGTAAAAAATGACTCTGAATTCAGTAAAATATTCCTTAACCGGGAATATTCTCTTTATACGTTCTAAAGACTAGATGCAAATTAATGTTTCCATGAGACACATTATTCAACTTGCCAACAATTCAAAATGCACATACAGATTTAGAGACTCTGGCAATACCTCTGTAACTTCCCAGAGGTCTGTATATAAAAGTTGTAAACCAAAAGTGTCCTCTATTCTACCATTTTATTCAGTGATATGCCGCTCCTTGATGGATGAAAAACAAGGTCGAGAAAACTTGTCGTAAATAATAAATACTGTCTTACAAAGTAACTTCTTCATTGAGAAAACATACTGAAATACAAAGTCATTATCAATACTCATTAGCATTTCTATTTTGAGAATTAAGTGGGTTCATTTGTTTGTCTCCATTTTTGAGAGGCAATTGCTCTAGAGGCCAGAAAATTAAGCTAGATGCAATAAAATTTACGGATTTTAAAACTAAACAAACAAAAATTTCTAACTATCTTTGCCACTTTCTAGCAGTGTGTTAGGGCAGGTTATTCAACATCTGGCTTATGTGTCTTCATTTGAGAATAACAGTAGAAATCTCATGGAATTAATACCACATTAAATAAAATGATTTATGGACATACTGGCACGTTATAGGGATTCTAAAAATGTCTGTCCCTTTACTTAGCATTTCTCAGTCAGTTCTTTTACATTTTATGATCTCGGTGAGTATAGTTGACTTATTTTCCGGAGAAGTTGCAGTTAATTCCTGGTTATTAGAATTCGAGAATGGGTCATGATCATGGAAGAGGCAAAATTGGTGCTGGACCTAGAAGCATTTTTTCAGGCAAAAAAACTTTTTCAAAAAAATGTTCAAATAGTAGAGATACTTTACAAAACAAGAGTTAGACTAAGCAGCGAATGTTCTATTGCTGAGCTTCTCAATCTCCATGGAATTCATAGACCCTAGGCTTCTTCTCTAGTGCTCAAAACTCAGCCAATGTTGCAAGTCCTAGATCTACATAGTGTATGTTCATGGACAATCTATTTCCCTCAATGGCAAGGAATTTAAAAATAATATCTTTATATCAAATGGAGTAGAAAACCAACTTCATGTGTATTTTTGCACGAAAACAGAAGTTTTAAAAGCCCGATTGACATTGAAAAACCTTAGAATATGCCACCCCAATACGTGCCACTCTGGCATATTGATTATTTTGAATTAAAAGAATTTGAAAAACAGTAGATGCAAAAGCGCATTCTGATCTTACTTCTTTTTTTCTCAAAAGCAGGAAATAAAACTTACATGTGAATGATGTCTTCCCTGCATTTGGAGAAACTAAGACATGTTCATCTCCAGAGATGGGGAGTGGAGACCAAGAGAAATCTATACAAACAAACGTTGTTAAATTAACCTTTATCTTTCTAGTTACTAGTTACTTCTTCACTATTACCTGTCTTAGACCAGATTCCTTTGTCTTGTTACATTTTCATAATTTACTACTCTTTGTTCGACCCTGTATGTAAGTGTTTGGCTCTGTTTCTTTCAGTCTTTAATATATCCTTAGAACCCACATGTACATATAAAATTTTCCTGAATAAAATGTGTATGCTTTTCTTCTCTTCATCTGTTGAGACCAGTTTAATTTTTAGGCCCAGCCAGAAACCCTAACAAGGTAGAGGAGAAATTTTTCCTCCCCTGCTTCATACACTCACTATCTCTACAAGTATAGGCACTTTGGTAGAGATGTTTTAGAAACACACATCACAGAGTCACATGAGAAAGAAGGGGAGCGTTTGGATGAGCACCTTTACAAGAATATTAGAAACTATGGGGTTGTAGTTGAGGAAACACCTCGAGGAGGTGAGTGTCAACCCTGCACATCTCTAAAGAAGACAAGGTCAGGTAGGAGAATCTAGAAGTGGGAATGTGCCTGGCACAGGCTTCCTGGTAGTATAAACACAGGGATTTCTGAAGCTTAGTGTGATGTGAATCAGTGAACAAACTGCTGAACAATGTATCTTCCTTTAATAAAATAATGAATTTCTTGGATATGCTTCTTGAAATGTATCCCATTATGCTTTGTGGGCTTAACATTAGGGAACAGTTCCTTAGGAATAGTTCTAGAATCACCCAAATAATGCTGTTCAAGGACAGTGATTTCTAATTGACCATTTTCATGTAAGATATAATTTAGCTTACTTGGAAAAGCAGTGACTCACCTTGTTTCAGGGAATCTGTGTACCTAGATTGATATATGCCATGGTTTGAATGTCTCCTCCAAAACTAGTGTTGAAATGTAATTGCCATTGTGATGATATTGAGAGATAGGACTGTTACGAGATGATTAGGCCCGGAGAGATGACACAGCATGAAGGCTCTCAACAGATGCAGCACCCTGCTCTTGGACTTTCCAGTCTCTAGAGCTGTGAACTAAATAAACTCTATTGTTTATAAATTGTGCAGTCTGTGGTATTCTTTTACAGCAACACAAAACAGACTACAGCAGTAAGTGTTATGCAATTGTGTGAATCTTTCTGGCGAAATGTTCCTAGTTTTAAGCAGATTCTCAAAGCAGCCCATGACTGCAAAATGGTTGATAATCACAGGTCTAGATTGAAAGAACTATGTATCCTCAATCTCTTTTCCTATTGTTTTATTCTTTTTAAATCACTACTAAATGTTTTAGGAAAAATGGGTGGTAGGTTATGCTCAACAGCTGAATAAGGGCAGAGTCATGCTTTAATAATCATCCCAGAAAGGGGGAGGGAAAAGGCAAAATGTAAGTGAAAATAAAAATGAGAGGTATGAGAAAAACATAAAATGTGAAGCTCTGAGTGTTGAAAAACAAATATGGAAGAGGTTTCCAGGCAAAGATAAGTGTTTGTTGGTGATTGGACAAGAAAGCAATATTCAGCAGAGTGAAGGTGAGAGCATAATAATGAAAGGGAAACAGAGATAGGTTGGTAAAAGAGAATGTGAGTGTGAGTGGCCACAGGATGCTCGTAGGATATAGCATGATAAAGACCATTTTCTCAGGAAGGCTTTCTCATTTCTTTTTAAAGCTCATAATTTACACTAAAAGGTTTATAATAGCAAGTCACATTTTAATATTAGATCTTTCTAGGAAAAAGCTAAGCACAAAGCCACCTTTAACTTTTAGATTCAACAAATTATGTTTCTAAGGATTTTGAAATTAATATCATCCTGCCACTATCACAAACAAGTAAAACTGTAAATAAGAAATAAGATGATAAATGAGGAAAAGAGAGGAAGAAGTGAAAAAGGTTTGTTTTAAACAACAAAAAAAAAATGAGAGGGAAAAATTTTTTTTAAAATTTCTTAAAGTCTGTGTACCTAATATTTTCATCTATTTTGTATTATTTATATTAGAAATTAAACTGATCTTTACAAGTGGTTTATCATTAACAGCACAAAATGGATGGATTACAAACTCTGAGCTATGAAGGTGAAATGAGAGAAACGAATTTCAGAGATCAGTCAGTAGATGCTGAAGCAGCCTGCGAGAAAGGATATCCTGGAAGGATGACCATTTATAAGAGAACAGAGCCCCATCACCTTGGGTCCATTTTCATGGTCCTGTGCCTCCTACTTCCCCTCATCTGCCTTATCACCTTGCTAAGGTGAAGGAATGGAGAAAAAGAAATCACCTTTGCAGCTTCCTAACAACCTGAGACTTTGAAATTCCTTTTATTCTTTCTATCTACCCTCAAAAGGGGAAGATACTTAATCAACACTTTTTTTCTTTTTTTCTGGGAATCTTCTGGCTTTCAGGTATTACCAAACATATAATTAAGACATGCTTTACAGCTTGAACCAGCTCAGTTTTTTTTTTTTTAACACATACCATTTTTATTTGAAATGGAAAATAAAAATACTAATAAGGGTTTCCTTGTCTAGTCTTGGGACTACACATGAGTTCCCAAGCTGACAGATACTAGATCTCAAATATCTTAGAATTATCTCTTCACATAGATAATGAAAAACTCTGAAGGTTCTATCCATAAGGTTACTGTACTCATTAATTCTAGTCCCCAAATCTTCACAATGAAGGTAGATTCATTGCTTTTACAGTGAGATGGTGATAATTGAGCAAATGTCAAATTTCATTTATAGGACATCTGGAATGATCCAAATCTATTTGAGGGTGTTTCCTCTTACCTTTACCCAAACCACAATGTATAAATTGAACCTTGGTTCTGAGAGTGAGCAGTTTTCTTGGAAGTATGACTGGAGAGCAGGAGAGGCAGCCTTGTGCTGTATAATGGACCCTGGAAGATAGCATAATTCACAAGGAGGTAAATTGTTTTGTGATTCAATTTCTAACTGCTTGTTCAACATGTCTACCTTGATGTCCACAAGCCTTTGAATTCTGTATGTCCCAACCAAAGGTATCCTCTTTCTCTGTTCTTCACTGCATTACCCTCTTCTAAGTTACTCAGGATCCAAACCTGAGTATATCTGGCAAATATATATTTGTCTCTCTCTCCCACATGTCTAATCAGTAACCATGGTTTCTTTCGCTTCCACAATATTTTTAAGATATATGTTCCTTTTCACCAATGCCTTTGCTTTTGTTCAGGTCCTCATTTCCTCTGGTTTGAGTTTTGCCACTGGTTTCCCAACCAATAGTCTCCTTCCCCCAATGTACCTAATTAACCCAGTTTTCTGGAAGTACTACTTTGATCATAAACCTTCACTTATACTCCTTCCTCCAGGAAGTGGAGCTTGATTCATCTCTCCACACCACCCCTTCAACACGCATACAGCCAACCCTTGACTAGATTTAAAGACATTTCTAATGAACAGGGTATGAGAATGGAAAAATAGTAACCTAACAGAGGAGTGATCTGGTGGACACTGCCTTAATCAAATGATGGAGGTTAATACCACCAGTGATGTTATGTTGGTATCATGTACTCTCTAATAAGATATGAGAAAGGGGCACTTTGCCTCTATGGCACTCGTTTCCAAAACAAATACCTCAGTCTAAAAAAGAGGAAAATCTACATTGAGGACACGCTTCAAAGTTCTCAAAGTTTTGAAAAACTGAGAAACTGCCACAGGCCAGAGGAGACTAAGGAGGCATGACGATTAAAAGTGTTATAGAATCCTGTAATGGACTCAGAAATATAAAAAATACATTAGTAATTTGCCAGTGTTAATTTTCTGGTTTTGATATGTGTGCCATGATTATTATATAAAACGTTAACAATAAGGGCAAATGAGTCAAGGTATATGAGAACTCAGTAGTGTCATCCAAACTGATTCCAATGTAAAAACAAAAGTTTATTTTAAAAATCTCTGGTTCTTCATTATCGAATATAGTTGTCTATAAGAACTACTATAAAAACTTTTTTAAAACATATATTTCAGGGCTATATCATTGGAGATACTGATTCTGTTGGCCTGGACAGGGTTCAAGAATCTGTACGTTTTAAAGACACTCTTCAAAAAGATTCTGACATGCTGCTAGGTTTGGGAGTAACAGTTCTACAGAATTAAACAAAGTAGATTGATATCCCACACTATCCCAGGAATCTGTGGGCAACTTGAGCCATTAAGCACTCACATTCTTCCCTCACAACCAGAAAATACTTTCATCTTTGCTTAGCTCACAGGGCTTTCCGGAAGTCTTAGATTTTGCTTCATGCGTTACTCACCCATTATCTTTACTCTCCCTCTCTCTCTCTCTCTCTCTCTTTTTTTTCTGTTTCTCTGGAAGGAAACACAAGATGAGGTATATAGATTTTCAAATAGTGAATTTCCAGCTCATTCTAAACTTATTTTTTCATAGTGAGAAACCAGTATATCTAATGAGACAGCAGCCTAGGTTAAACAGACCAGATGTTTGAAAAAAAAATTTTATTTACTCCCAGTTTGTGGGTTCCTCAAAGTACTGGTAAGTGTTGTCCATCTCATGTGTTTTAATAAATAGATAAGAACCTAAGTAAGCTGATCTTTAAAAATAGAAGGTGCTCTTGACTTAAGACAATCTGTAGTCCCTTAATAAGTTAAATAGTGCTTTTTTTAAAATTAAAATATGTAGATCTTTCCACATATTTTATGTGATTCAATCCTCATAATAGTCCTGTGAAGTAGGTAGTTTTCAACTCCACAAATGAGAAAATTTGGTCACAGAGAGGTTAATTAATTTTTTCCAAGGTCATACAGCTAGTAAGTGGTGAGGCCAGGTTTACATTTCGAGATGTTGACACTGAGGGACTACATTCTGATCCACTGTGATGTACTGCTTCCCTATAGAAATATGTTTGGCACAACTTTAAAGTAGTGAAAAGAATTTGTTACTCCAGCTGGGTCCAGACTACTCTAAACACTAAAATGGTAAAATTGGTGTGCATAGCTGTATACCACTTGCGCAAGTTAACTTTAGATTTCTAACATATTTTTTCATCGTTTAAAAGTTCTCATAAAGTATGGCCAATGTTGCGTGTGTGTGTGTGTGTGTGTGTGTGTGTGTGTGTGTGTGTAGTGAGTGATTTTTCTGTCAAGGCTCTTTGGTATGCTATATTTGATTCTTATATAGAAGGCAGCTAGTTTCGAGATTCTCCAAGGATAAGAAGATCTGGGATCCAAGACAGTATGCTATGAATGTTAGGTGTCTGGAGGTAGGGAGTAACATTTTAAAAAGCAACAACTTCTTTTTAAAGGGTCAAGAAAGTCAGATAGAAATCATCACAGGCTGACGTCAACTAACTCTCTAACCCCAGGCCTCTACAAAACTAACTACACTAACCTCAGGTCTCTACAAAATGACTGGGTATTTTTGCTTGCAATGTGTTCTCATTGAATTTCACAAAACAAATAAATAAAAGAAGCCTCTGTTGTCACTTCTGAAAAACTCCAGTCTATTACAATGAAGAGAGAGCACCTGTTTAAAAATATTCTGGGTGATAAATCACAGAAGGTTGCATTAATCAAGGCAGCCTAAAGCTGATAAGTGCAATTATGGATTTGTCACCCTAGGGAAATATCTTGATCAAGGCTTCTCAAACCCCAGCATAAACATCCCTGCAAACCTCAAATTCTTGCCCAAAGACGGCTGCACCTAATTTGGGGACTTAGCACATCTTATCCTTAGGGTATTGAAAGCCTTCTGGCAGAGCCTTATCCAATATCCACAGTAATGAAACCTTGTTCTGGTGAGATCTATTAATGATATAATGATGGAGTACCCCTACTACCAATTGGCAGCAGTCTTCACACATCACAAGCGAAGAGAAACAAAAACAAAAACAAAACTTGGGTCCTGTCTTCTCCTATTTTCATATATTACAGGAATTTTACATGAATTAATGGATAGAAACTAGCTGGATCTCACTATTCAAAGAGATGTCTACACTTACCTTAGATGATTGTTTTTAAATGTTATAAAATAGAATTTTAAGGCAATATCATAATTCAAAAAAGTATGAAAAATATATTTAAGATCAAAATGTGAAATATTAAGCAATCGCTGTTGCATATTATTTTTACATTGTGCATTTTTCATTGGTAGTTGGTATCAGTTATTGTGTGTGGTATTGTCAACAAATATTTTCTTTTTTTTCTATATAAACAAACTTTGGAAATTCTGTTTGGATGCTGAAATATTCAGAGCTTCTAAATTCTGGTGTTAATGATCTAATTTCATTTTAAGGGCTATGTCTGCCCCCTTCCACCAAAGTTTATTCTGCACATTGCAGGCTACACTGTTTTCATTCCTTCTGATATGAAACCACACATCATCAACTGCTTCTCCCACAGTTTGGTCTTGTCATAATAGACCTCATAGATCTGACATGGTAATGTTGATTAACACTTTTTGTGTACATCCCATATCGTCCTATTACTTTCTAATAACTGATAAGTCCCTTTGGGATAGGAATTACCACGCTCTTTTATTTTCAAAGTTCTTATTCCATCTTATACTCAATTTACATTTGATAAGCAATACAGTTTTTTAAAAAACTGGTGCCACTGTGCTTCTTGGATAATGTGGAATTCTAAATTATAAGATGTAAAGTTTCCAGGAAGGGATGCCAGTGTAGGAGAGAAAACATTTCTTTCCTCCCCCATCGCTAGGTTCATGGCTGAGACCCCTATTATAAAGGACAGATATGAAAAGCATACAAATATATTTAATATCAGTTTATGTGACATAGGAGACATCAGAAATGAAGACCCAAAGAAACAGAGAAAAGGTATATTTTTATGCTCAGGTTTGATGAAGAGCTGGCAGTTGTGTAGATGTGTGGACAAAAGGGAGTGTGATCTAATGGTAATACACTGGGAGTAACAAAAGTCTGTCCAGATTCTTGGCGTCTCTGTATGACATTTCTCTTATCCAGGTATCAGGAAGGACACTTGTCATAAGAGAGTCTTTGGAGAGAAAGGAGGGAAAAGATCAGAAAGCGACCTTCTAGGTTTTCTGGCTTGCTTCGGGGGTGAAAGGTGAGGGGAAGATGAGAGCGGCCTTCCTACTTCTGCTGTTTTCTCAATTTCCGAGGTATCATATTTCGGGGGTGGGTAGTGTTTTCCTGCATCCTCATCACCAGAATGTTTATGAATTTAACGTACAACAAAGGTTAACATTTCAGTTAAGCAGGAAAGGATGATGAATTTAATAAATGATAGCAGCAAATTGTTATCTATCTAGAAAAAATTCTATATAATTCTGAAATGCTAGGTTAAATTATCTAAATAGAAAACTATAAGGCAACAATAATCTCAGAGGACATGCAAGTGATAATATTGACAATATAGGATCAGGAGAAACTTTTAACCAAGGCAGAAGATCCAAACACTTTTAAAAGGAAAGATAGACTTACTTGACTAAATTTAATTTAAAACTTCGGCCAGAGACCCCAAATAATAAATAAATGATAGGCTTTTGTAATAAAACAAAAACAAACAGTTCCACGTATCTTTATTGAACAAAGGGTTCCAAACCGTATTTAAAAACTTACAAAATAAGAAAGTAAACAATTTCATAGAAAATAAGCAAAAACTAAATCCATGTGAATAAACGCTGTCAAAAATGTCCAAATGTTATAGTAGCAAGGGATATTTAAATTAAAGTAACAGTGCTGTATCATTTTATTCCCATCAAAACTTAACTAGTGCTGCCAGGAATATTTAGAGAAAAGGATATTCTTCACAATTGTTATCTGGTAATGTGAATAATTGCATCCTTCCTGTAAAATATTTGATAACACTGGTTAAAATCAAGACTACATATACTATATTCCAGGTATGTAACTCCTGGGAA